TGTTTTGTTGTTGTAGCGGTTTTCCTTTTGATGGTGGGGGGTGTTTTCTTAGTGTCTTTGGAGTCCTTGGCCACGATTGGACTTAATGAGCTCAACTACGCCTCTGACTCCATTTGGCATCATCCGGAGATGGCCCAAGACATGGAGTAAGAGGATGTGACCGAAAAAGGAAGAGGTGGCCAAGGAAGAGGAGGCAAATCCTAAGCGGCGCTCTAAGCGCCCGCTACAGCTTTAACGGTACAGGGCGCACACCCCCCGCTCCGCCATGGGCCAGCCCATTTCTCATTTTTTTTCCTTTTGTAAAAGTCTGCAAAAAATGGTGCTATGTTGGATTCGAACCCGCGCCTTCGAGCTTCGGTGCAAGACATGCCAACCACGCCAACCACTCCACCTGCTGTGATAATGTACTGCTTCTTCTTCTGTTATCCCTTTTTTCCTTTTCTTTTTTTCCTTTTTCTAATTCAATGCAAAAAAGTTCACGGAATATTATGAACATTTTTCAAATTCTATGAACTTTTTCTAATCGGATGAACAGTTTTTTAAATGGATGAACTTTTTTCAACTTTGATGCACTTTTTTTATAATAGGATGAACTTTTACTAAAATCCGTGAAATTCTTTTTTAAAAAATTGATGAATATTTTTTCAATCTGGTGAACTTTTTTTCATATTTGATGAACATTTTTTAGGTCGGTGAACTTTTAAAAAATTCGATGAACTTTTCTTTAAGTCGGTGAATTTTTTTCAAATTTGATGAACTTTTTTTTACGTTCGTGAACTTTTTTTCAAAACCGACGAACTTTTTTTCGAAATCGTTGAACTTTTTTTAATCCATGAACTTGTTTTATTCGTGATTCTTTATAAAACCTGTGAACTTTCAAAAATATTTCACATTGTTGTTCAAAAGAAATCATGTTTTTCTAAATGTTTTTAAATAATCCAAAAATCTACGTGGCTGCAGCGTTTTGTTCTCAAGCTTTATCGCGCTGAAATTTTTAATACTGCGGGGTGGCTCGAGTGGTTGGCTAACCATTTACTGGCGGTAAGTGACGCGTGTTCGATTCCACAGCAGCGCCATATATTTTTGGTATTTTTACGGGCTATTGCATTGGACTGCTGCGTGTTCCTGGGCCGGGCCCATAACAGGAGCAGCGTGGGCGCCAGAAGGTCAGGCGCCGGTTAGGAGCTCCCGGAAGAGGAGGAGGCCGAGGTTTAGGCTGATGGGCTTTTTGATAGAATATCAGACTGTTGTTATTTCCCGAAAAAGGCCGGTTTTTTCTTGAAGGAAACTGAAAAAGGCTGGAATTAGTTCATTCTGGAAAGGCCGAAGCTAGTCACCCGGGCAGTCCGAGCGGCATGTACAGATGGGCTGTTTGCCTAAAGAAAAACGAGTTCAGGTGGGCTGTGGCAGCCACTGCGCCCGACTCTTATTTATTCTCGACTAAAACCGCTGAAAAAACACCAAAAGAACGTTCAAACGAAAAAAAGCCCACTAATTTGGCACGGCCTGGCCCTTGCCGCAGAGCCGCGCCATCCTCTGCAGCAGCGTCGCGATCTGCCGGTCGTCGCCGTTGTTCCGCGCCACCACCTCCCGCAGCTCCCTCGCACGGCGCCTCGCCGCCACCCGTTCTCTCCCGTTGACAGCCGAGCGCACCGCCCGCGCCACGTCCTCCGCCTTGAACTCCCCGAACCGCTCCTGCTTCACGCGCGCGGCCGCCGCGCCCAGCTCCACCGCCAGGTTGGCGTTCAGCGGCTGGTCGATGTGCAGCGGCAGCGCCACCATCGGCACCCCCGCCGCCATGGACTCCAGCACCGAGCTCCACCCGCAGTGGGTCAGGAACGCGCCGCAGGATCGGTGCGATAGGATGCGCCACTGCGGCGCCCACCCTTCCACCACCAGCCCGCGCGCCGGCTTGAACCCCCGCGGCATGGACCTCGCCGCGCCGCGGGCGTCGTCCTCCGCGTTCGGGAACCGCACCACCCACAGGTAGGGCACCCTGCTGAGCTCCAGCCCGCGCGCCATCTGCGCCATCTGGCGGTCCGACATGAAGTACTCGCTGCCGAAGGAGACGAGCACCACGGAGCCCGGCTCCTTGCCGTCGAGCCACCGCATGATGCGGCCGCCGTCGCGCTTCGCCTCGGAGCCACTGGAGTCTACCAGCAACGGGCCGGTGGGCACGACCTCCTTGCCCACCAGCTGGGACAGGTAGTCCACGTACTTGCGCTCGATGTCGGCGCACGTCTTGATGGCCACGAACCCGGAGGAGCGCTCCAGGCTGAGCGGCAGGCGGTCGCGCTCGGGGATCAGGGCCGTCCCGTCGTCGCGGGAGATGAGCCGCGCCGTGTATTTGGCGTCCTCGTCGGCGCCGCCGAGGCTGATGGTCTCGAACGGGAAGGCGGTGGGGGTCCGTTCATTCTTGAGGCAGTGGACGACGAACGCCTTGGCGGCGGCGCTGAAGGTGTTGAAGTGGACCGCGGGCACGCCGCGCGCCGCGGCCTCGAGCGGCGCCCACGGCTGGAGGAAGTCGTAGACGACAATGTCCGGGCAGAGCTGGTCGAGAAGCGCGCCGAAGCGTGGCGCGGCGAGGTCGCAGGCGCGCTTGAGGGCCGGCATGAGGTGGGCGGGGAGGCCCTTGGTGGTGTGCAGCGCGGGCGGGAGGCCGGGGAGCGCCGGGAGGTGGAGCTCGACGAGCCTGATCCTGTCCGTCTGGTGGTGCGCGAGGGGCGCGAGGTTGGCCGGCGTGGAGACGAGGTGCACGACGACGTCGAGGTGGTCGTCGGGGCTGGCGGCGACAAGGCGCTTGGCCAGCTCGAGGTACGGGTTGATGTGGCCGTGCGCCAGCCACGGGAACATGACCACGCGCATGCACTCGCGCTCGGCCTGCGCCATGGCGATCGGTCGGCGAGTCGGTGACGAGGGAGGCCTGGGAGGATCTACTGATTCGGTTCAGCTGACTAGAAATCTTCTTCGTGCTCTGTGATGTGATCTACTCCGGCCTTCGGGGCGCGTGGATTTATAGACGGCCTGGGTCGGCGATGGCGCTGACCATGGACGCGCGTACGTGCACGGAGCTCAGTGAGCGAGCGACGCGCGCGAGCCGCCCGGAGGTCATGGGCTGCGTCGTCATCGTGTCTGGCGCGCGGAGTCACTTTGCCTTGGCCACGTGCCGCCGGGCGCGCTAGGCGCGTGTCCGGCTTCTTCCATCACGTTCGAGATGGCCGTGTGACTCGATCTAAGACGGGGCACAACTCCATTTTTGTTACAGGAGCATGCTCCAGACATAGGTGCGTAATAAAACTAGAAAGGAAATACACACATACATTGAATGTGTACTACTAATTGTTTGCAAAGTATCATGGCCAAATACCTTTTTATGCAAGCTAAAAAAATGACAAAATCACATGTTTCTACCACATGTACTATTCACAAGAAAAGTACATAATTTTTTACAGCTCACACCAAAATGTTTTTTTTTGCATGGTAATATGTATCTCATCCATATCATAAAGATCAAAGTACATTCTTTTTGTGATGAAATTGCACACACATTTAGTACAAGTCTGGAAGAGCCCGCCTTTGGGGATCTTGTACCCCTTATTGTCGCCACTGCATGGTGGCAAGCCCTATGTCCTTGTCGAGCAGACGCTTGCGCGTCTCCACAAGTTCGGTTGCGACAGCATTGGGGTCCATGCCAATTGCGATGGGCGCGTACAGGCTCTGCACCGTTGTGCGGAGCAATTTCTCCTGGCAGGAGCGAGCAGCCGCCGTCGCACTGGTTCTGGAGCTGGTGGTCAGCACCTCCACGCGAGTGGAGAGGTGTGCAACATCGCAGGAGATGCCGCAATTGCCCGCGAGCCAGACTCTCCACGACGTGGTGGGTGTCTTGTCGTACACTTGGGTTTGACGGGCGCTTACCCTGCTGGCTGCTGGCTGCGGCCAGCCAGCCCGGGCGAGAAGCCGCGCCTAGCCGTCCTCCATTGGGGGGAGCTGGCTGGAGGGCCAGCCAACTTGAGGGACTTGAGCCGTCCTGATGTTTTGAAATGTTAACTTGTTTCCTTGAGCCTACCCGGAGGTCATCCCCCCGACAACTTGAGCACTTGTATTTCGCAGATTATATGAATACCAACAGGATGTAGGGTTTTATGCTAACATGGCGGCTCGGACCTGTATATAAAATCAGTTGTGTCCTTATTTCCTTGTGTAACTTTGATAGTGGATTGACTAGCCGTTTAGCCCCTGGCCGAACGCACAAATACAGGATATCCTAGATCCCCGGTGTCTGGAGAATGCACTCCGACACAAGCCATGACCGGAGAAGCGGTCCCCACATCAGAGGCCATTCCCGCGGTTGGACGATGAGTTTGAACCCAGTGGTTTTTTTTCATCCCTAAAGTTTTCTTCGGCGCCGGCGGCTGCACGTGGGTGATTTCCAGCAGCGACAAGCCAGTGTCAGTGGCCGGCGGGGTGTGGGAAGGGACCGGGCTATCCATTCCAGCCAGAGAGACGGTCATCGATGGAGGCGGCGGGGCATGGTGGCTGCAGCGGCGGGAGACAGGGCGACGGGATGGTGGGAGAAAGAGAGGCCACCACTACATATTACTCAGCCGCGGCGGGAGTGAGCATATTTAGGGGGATTAGGAGAGATTTTGGACGGTGGAGGATAAATTTTACTCCTTTATAGATTTTAGTACTTCGGCTAGGTATGCCGTAAGGGAGGAAAACCAAAATTATACTCCCTTACGGTCTAATGTATGGATCATAGTTTCATAATTCTTTCAAACATGAAGAACGAACATTCTGCAAGCTATGTTTTTTCAGCGCGTGGAGTATAGCAATTAATTTTATTTTTAGTCAGTAGTTTATGTATGAAGTGAGATGAGATTAGGGACGATCGATTCAGATGTCGACAGACACAAAGGCTTAGAATGGTCGCCGAGGTTAGATAAACATGAGACTGCTTGTAAATAGACAATCCGGCTGTCAACCAATTAGTTGGCTCACTACAAGATATAGGGCACCAGAGCCTTGATGCTCGCTGGGAACTCCTCGAACTTGGATTCGTACCATCTCCGGGTGGCGAAGCTTCGGCCGACGAGGTAGGCTGCCGTGCCGGAGGCCATGGCGAGCGCATAAACCGTCTGCGAGATCATCGCGAACCCGAAGAATCCGGTGATCTCGAAGAGGTAGTGCGGGCAGGTGACGAACTCGAAGAGCCCTCCTTTGGGGATCTTGTACCCTTTATCATCGTCACCTCCCTTCCTGAGTTGCGAGAGGAGGTAGTGGTGGTAGAAGTTGCCGGCGATGCCAACGGCAAAGAGGAGCACACCTGGGTAGAGGAGGTTGGTTGAAGGGTCAGGTAGTTCGACGGCGAGGTGCTGCGCGTAGATCATGGTGATGGCGCTGAGCAGGTAGCTGGAGGAGATGGTGAGCGCGGTGTTGAGTGGCATGTTTCCACTGTACCGGTGGATGAAGAGTACCTTGTAAAAGAGCAAGTTAAGTAGCGGTCCAACTTATTTTGGAATCGAACAATATTCGATTTGTTTTCAATAAACCTATAAAAATTGGATATCATCAAATTATTGTGAAGGTTTTTTAGTCTATTTTCAGGTTTCAACTACCATTGAAAACACAGATATTTCTCTTCCTTGATTTTGCTTCCCATTTTTCAGTCAAATGAGAGAAAATATTCAACTCCAATTCAACTAAAGTTTGACGAAATAAGTTTGGATTTTGTTTAAATTTGGCTCAAATTAATGCGCCACCACAATAGATTGACCTGAATGCACTAAAATTCCTAATTTTCCTGTCAAATTTCAGCGAAGATGTGAACCCCACTTCTATAACATGTCTCGTTTTGGGTTAAAAACACGGTTGAAGTACATGATTTGCAACACTTTTAGCAGCACCTAATTAAAGACCAGTTCTACGTTAGTAGTATATCTTTTTTTCTCGAAAAGATCGAGTGTCTTGAAGAAAGAATTCCAGCGTGAATTTTGAAGCAAGACCTTCTTGAATCATAATATTACCTCGAGGACACGCTTGAGGAAGTGGACGGCGAGCGCGGCGGCGAGGAGCTCCGCGCGCAGCCCTTCCACGGCACCCGGGACGACGAAGGACGCGGCGGCGGCGACTAGAGCCGGCGCGTAGGCCACCAGCATCCCGTCACGGCCCGGAAGCTGCGCGCCACCGGTGCCTCCCTTCTTCTGCTGCTGTCCAGACACGACGTGCCAGAACTTGGAGTAGGCCATGTGCTGGCCGCGGAGCTCCGAGAGGCCCGCGGACGCCAGCGACGCGAACGACACCACCGACATGGCCGTCACGAAGGCCGACGCCGGCGGCGGGTACAGCAGCGACGACGGCCACCACATGTCGCTTTATCGATCGTCCACTTGGCCTTGGTGTAGGAGCTAGCTCTGAACTGGATCGACCCTTGCGTTGCGCATCTCCTTGGTACTCAGGCCGTTGGTTTTACGCTCAGGTACGGTGGTTGCCGACGAGACGTGGCGTCATGGGAGCCTATGGAGTGAGCTGTGATGGAGGATGCATGAGACACAGCACACCACACGCGTGCCTTTGCTGTACCTACCTGAAATGAACGGCGCGAATTAATTCTGCAGGCAGCATGCATATGCACGTACATGCGGCTTAGGCTTGTCCAACGCGGGCGCTTAGAACGAGCGCTAGGATTAGATTCACGGCTAATTAGCAGTTAATTCGTTGAATCCTGATTAGATTTACGGGCGAGACTTTGCCTACGCCCCACGCGTGCGCTCATCCCGTTAAAATCAGGGGATGATTAGATTAAAAAAAACCAGCCATAGAATAAAGTGAAAGTACGGATGGAAGCATGGAGAGGAAACAGATAAGCCGGGTCAAATGAGGCGTCAAGCGCTTGCCTATTTTTCTGCGGACGAGACTTGGCTGCTCACCGCGCGTGCGCCCATCCGTACTCCCACATACTGGCTTGATTTGATTGGAACAAAATAAAGCCCGACCCCACCCCCTTAAAATCAGGGGGGAGATGATTAGATTAAAAGGAAAAAGGAAAAAAAAGATAGCCGTTGGATGAAGCGGGAGTACGGATGGGAGCATGGGGAGGAAGTAGGCAAGCAGGATCCTTTTTCTGCCTGCTCTAAGCGCCTGATTGCTTAATTTACTCCATGAACTTAGCGCTTGCCATTGTAATCCTCGGTGCCGGTGTCAAAACCGGCGGATCTCGGGTAGGGGGTCCCGAACTATGCGTCTAGAATCGATGATAACAGGAGACAGGGGACACGATGTTTACCCAGGTTCGAGCCCTCTCTATGGAGGTAATACCCTACTTCCTGCTTGATTGATCTTGATGAATATGAGTATTACAAGAGTTGATCTACCACGAGATCGTAATGGCTAAACCCTAGAAGTCTAGCCTAGGAATATGATAATGAGTATATATGTTGTCCTTTCCGGACTATCCCCTTCGGTTTATATAGACATCAAGGGGATTTAGGGTTTACATGGAGTCGGCTACATGAGAAGGAATCTTCAGTCGCCAAGCTTGCCTTCCACGCCAAGTAGAGTCCAATCCGGACATGGTGCAGTCTTCGGCCTTCATATCTTCACAGCCCATCAGTCCGGCTCATGGATAACAGGCCGGACGCCCGAGGACCCCTTAGTCCAGGACTCCCTCAGTAGCCCCTGAACCTGGCTTTCAATGACGAGGAGTCCGGCGCGCTGATTATCTTCGGCATTGTAAGGTGGGTTCCCCTTTCTCCGAACTCCAAGATAGTCTTTGAATGCAATGTTATTATCCTGACCTGTTACGCACACCATACACAACCATAGAGAGAATATAATATTTGCACGAATCCAATCTGTTGACAGCTTTTTTCCAACACGACATCGCGTCTGTCCGGTTACAATTTCGAACCATTTTTCTTCTGCCATTCCACGCTTTGAGACGCGGTTGTTATTGGCACATCTTGTCGAAACAGAGATCGTGTCCCTTTATTACGGGATTCTCATCAATGCGGGCATGGGTAACTCAACCATGTCGTTTATACCGCCCTAGGGAACAGGCTGTAACGCCCCGTATGTAACTTGCCATATTTGTATTCCAACTCTTCCCATTTTCGGCTCTAAGTTATGATATTCCCTCGTGGTTGGCTTTTGTCTTCGTTTTGCATTTTGTTCATGTCATGCATTTCATATCATGTCATCATGTGCATCGCATTTGCATACATATTCGTCTCATGCATCCGAGCATTTTCCCCGTTGTCCGTTTTGCATTCCGGCACTCCTACGTCCTCCAGCACCCCCCTTTTGCCTCTTTTCGTGTGCGAGTGTTAAACATTCTCAGATTGGACCGAGACTTGCCAAGCAGCCTTGGTACACCACCAGTAGACCGCCTGTCAAGTTTCGTGCCATTTGGAGTTCGTTTGATACTCCAACGGTTAACCGGTTAACTATAAAGGCCTCGTGTGTGTTGCAGCTCATGTTGGGGAACGTAGTAATTTCAAAAATTTTCCTACACACACGCAAGATCATGGTGATGCATAGCAACAAGAGGGGAGAGTGTGATCTACGTACCCTTGTACATCGACAACGGAAGCGTTTGGTTGATGTAGTCGTACGTCTCCACGGCCCGACCGATCAAGCACCGAAACTACGGCACCTCCGAGTTCTAGCACACGTTCAGCTCGATGACGATCCCCGGACTCCGATCCAGCAAAGTGTCGGGGAAGAGTTCCGTCAGCACGATGGCGTGGTGACGATCTTGATGTACTACTGTCGCAGGGCTTCGCCTAAGCACCGCTACAATATTATCGAGGACTATGGTGG